CCGCAACTGCAGCGCCGCCAGGGCCTATCGGAACCATCAGAGGGAGTGACCGGGCCGTGCAGGTCAGGTTAATGGTTTGAGAGTACTGCCAACATGACGTAACCTGAGCCATGTAGTGTTGTGTTGTGTAATGTAATGTAGTGTTGTGTAGTTTTGTAATGATTTGGTGCAATGCAAGGTTGGTTGGTTGATTGGCGACATCCCACCCGAAACTGCTCTAGATGTATATATATTGACCCACCATCAGCATCTGGCCGATTTCAGCAACCGTCATACGCGGCAGGGCGGAGCGCGCCGCGCCCAGAGCCGCCTGCCGCCAGGCCTCACCCAGCGGCGGCAGCAGCGGTGGCGTCCGCCGCCGCCGTTGGCGCTGACGCCTCCTCTGTCCCGTACGCCGCCGGATACCTGACCCAGCGCCGGCGATGGCTGTGGCAGCGACGGTAGCAGCAGTAGCGGTAGTAGCGGCGGAGGCGGTGTGCCGTACTGCTGCGAGTCCAGCGAGGGACGCTACCAGCTGGTCAGGCCGCATAAGCCCCATCTGGCCGGCGCTCTGGGCCTCCCATGCGGCCAGCGTCGGGCCATGGCTGTTGCATGACGTAAAGAGGTAATAAGGAGAGCGTGCACCATGTCTATTACAACAAAAGAACACGCCGTATGTATGTATGTATGTATGCAGTAGGCAGGGTGGGTGGAGGGACGGTGGAAAAAAATAATAAGTGCATGTGCAAATGTCTTGCACTGTTAAGGGATGAAATGAAGGGATGAAATGAATGTGAATCGAATCAGGAATGAAGGCTCCTGGTTCCCAGAGTGGTTAAAGCACCACCCCAGTAGCTGGGCCAGCTGACCATGGCACCGTGGTACCCAGACATCGGCAAACGCTTCGGGAGCTTCGGGTCATACGGAAACTCCCGAAAACAGAAATTGGGTCCCCGAAGCCGGCCGGCTTGCAGAACTAGGATCATACGCCGTATACGAGAATGTCAAACTATTGCAAAAAACGCTTTTTCATTCCGCGGCCTTGTAACAGACATTGTACTGGAAGACAGAAATAGACCCGTTCCTGAAACCAGAAATACCCCGTTTGCCGACGTCTGGTGGTATCTGCCACGACACGAATAACTGCCAACCGATAGATAACTAACCGACAACGAACTTGTCGACTTGCCTGATGCCCATGCGTCCAAGCCCCGAGATCATGCACGTCAGAGCCCGAGGACCGAAAGAGGGCATCTTTGGCAGCAGTGAGCTGCACACCGCCACCACCATGCGGCGGAAGCCCGCGGCGTCCCTGCTAGCGGTGATGGCGGCGGAGGCGGCGGTGGCGGCGGAGGCGGCGGAGGCGGCGGCACCACCCCGACTGGCGCCGGCACCGCTGGGTTCAGCCATCCAGGCAGGAGCCGTCACCGACGGCGGAACCAGCGGCGGTGCCCGCGGCTGCAAGCTGGGTACATGCCTGCAGAGCACCCAGTGGGGAGAGAGGGCGCGTTATGGCAGTGGGGGCGATGGCGGCGGCGGCGGCGCCGCGATGGGAGGTGCACCGGGCCGGACTCGGGGGCCAGAGGTACAGAAAACACGAAACTGATGTGACATTAATGTGCGAATAGTATACCGGTGGATCAAAACAGGGGTAAAGGATGACGTGTAAGGTGTGGCGTATTCGTATAGGGTGTGACGTTGCAGCCGCCGGGACCGTTCTCGGGGCCCATCGGCACGAAGCCCATCCACCAAGTCATCTACGCCGCCCACTCTCTTTTACAGAAGTTGCCCGTCCCAACCCTGCGAACGAAGATCTCGTCGCACTGCCGTACTTGAAAAAGTACGCAGCAGCATGCTGGTCGAATAACGGCAGATACCGCGGCAGTAGCTTGTGTGCCAGCTGCCTGCGCCAGTCCTTGCAGGCCGCCAATCGCGCCACGATCTTTGCTGTCATGCGCGGGTGGGGGCCGTCGGGGCTGTCGAGAAAGAGCTTGCGGCGGCGGCGGAACCCCGCGGGCCCTGACGGCTCCAGGGTGGGGGAGCGGCTGCTGCTGCTGGCGATGTTGGGCGCAGGAAGCCTAGACGTCGATGAGCTCGGCAATGAAGGCGAGGACGAGGTCTGGGATGGAGTGTTGGTGGTAGTGGAAGAGGAGGAGGAGGAGGAGGACAAGGCAGCGATACGCTCCGAAACCGGAATTTCCTTCACTGACGTTGGGTCTGGATTTGGGTTTGCAACTGGAATTGGATCGTGCGTCGGCCCTGGATCCGGATTTAGATTTAGGTCTGTAGCGATTTCTTCCTGTGAGTTGGTGTTCGCGTTCACCCGCCGCGGCCGCTGCTGCTTTTGCTGATCCAGCTGCTGCTGATCCAGCTGCTGCTGATCCAGCTGCTGCTGATCCAGCTGCTGCTGATCCAGCTGCTGCTGATCCAGCTGCTGCTGATCCAGCTGCTGCTGCTGCTGCTGCTGCATCTGCTGTTGCTGCAGCCATCCGTCCTCCGCATCAAGGATCAGCTCCCGAAAGTACTGTGTTGTCGGTGTTGATGTCGGTTTCAAACGGGCAAACCGGGACAAGGGTAAAAGGGAACCCGGCTTCCTATTGTCGGTAATTGAAGTCAACATCCAATCGGGGTTGGGCCCACGACGGCCTTAAGAGTAGGAGCAAGGAGTCTATGAGCCCCAAAGCGCAGCTGACACAGCGGCCTAGAACCCCCTTCACTTTTTCAGTGGACATTTCCTCTCTTGCGTCTCCAGCTTTTACCTGGCGAAGGAAGCTCTTCGTCCCTGGACACAACATCCGAAAATCTAACTTCCCCCATCCTTATACCTCCGGTATCGTATCAACCCCTTCTTACGATTAATCCCGCATGGCCGTGGAGACCTTACCCTACCTACAGGAGCTTGTAGCTGCTGGGCTTACCTCTGCCGCGCGCTTGGGCCGCGGTCGAATCACCGGAGGTTTGGGGGAGCGTGCGAGTCGGCGAGCCTTGTTCACCTCGGCCACATCGCCATACTTGGCACGCTTGCTGGGTTTGCGGGCTGGCAGAGGATTCACATGGGAAGTGGTGCGCTTAAAGGCCTCTGAGCTGGTAATGTGCTCTGGCCAGCCACCTAACATTTCAAGACAGCTTTGGGAGCTGGCAAGGGAGTGAAGATACAGGCACCACAATTGCCGTACCGCACACCAGAGACTCCAACAGTTACGCGCATGCGATGTGTTCAGGTGGTTATCACGACGTTTTAACAAGGCATGGTGGAAAGGACATAAGCATGAGCCGCCCTGTGGTCAATATCATTGGGTGCGCGACTGAAACTTTAGAATCCCCGGAGTCCCCGGAGTCATCATGATTGTTCACTTATTTGGGATGTCAAGCGATGGATAAGTAATCCAGAGTTGAGCTAATCTAGGTAAATGCTTTCGCATGATAAAAATGAGCCCCTGGATGTTTCCTATCAGCCGGCACTCTAATTGTCGAACCAATGTATCCACAATTTGTATTGCTTAATGCCTGTAAATTCCGAAGAGAAAGGAAAGGTGGAGTAGTGTATTCCGTTGTTCGTTAGGTTTTCGCATAAGTGAAGGATTGCATGATTGCTTCTAGCATTTGTGTAGGCCTCGGATGAGTTACGCAGGAGCATGGGTAAGTACATTCAAGGGTGTTTACAGGAGGGTAGGGGGCCATAGGATTAGACAACCAATAAGGGTAGGCCTCATGCTCCAGTACGCTCATCCTGCGATTTTGTGTGACTCGGAAGTGTAGTCGATGGTAAGCAACCATGCATTGGATAGCTGCCACCGTCAACAGGACACTAGACTCTAACTGACGAACAGCAAACAACAAATGGCCTCCGGACACGACTTCGGACGTTCTTTGTTTTTTTCGGAATTTGTCATGAGTGATCCAAAATGTTTGCCAAAGTACCCTATCAGGACGGGATCCGATATTTCTAAGATACGAGTAAGACGAAGCACCGACACTAAGCGCGACCAAGCGTTTGAACCTATTCAATCATCCCCAATAGTGCGATGAAGCATCCAGCTGTTGTGGTAGTAGCTGTAAATAGAGCTGTTGTCAATCATGCTGCTTACATTCCCTTGCGGATCGGAAACTGCTGCCAGATCTTGCCCTTCTATGAAGACGGCACGAAGCGGGGGCACTTGGTTACATACAGGAGAAAGGGTTCACAATGCATTTGTGCGTCTGGGCATTCACTGGTATAAGACGACCCATTATTTCACTTATACAATACTCTTTAAGAATCTACAAATGCGAACGCCGTGTATTGCACTTGCTCGTGTTCAAACACAACAGATCACCAAAAGCAACGACAACGTTACGACAAACAGACGAACCATGGCGGGGAAGCCCTGGCCCGCGTGAGGCGGTGGTAACACGGCAACAATATTATGGCCAAGCCTAAAGCACATACATACACCGAAACAAGCCGGAAAAGGACTGGGCAACACAACAATCAGCAGCAGCAGCAACACCAGCGGCAGTCGCGCAGATAACAGCGCAAAGCAAACAGCGCATAGCGCCATGTTCAACTCACACCTCCCTGATTGGATTGGGGAATGGGTGGGGCGGATTATAGGTCCTAGGGGGAAAATTACCACCGTTGTCAAACGAGCTACAGACAACGAGCTAGAGAGCTGATTGATTATTAAGAACGCACACATGGCCCCGCTACTACATCGCCGGTCCCGACACGTCGAAATGGACAAATAAACAAATGAGAGCAGCGACACATGGCGCCGGCGCCCTGATCCAATGCAACCTGATCATACAGCTTAGCGCGCAGCGGCAGAGGCTCCAACCTTCTTCACTCGCAAGTTATTCTAGCGCATGAAGCAGCACAGCTCATAGCCGTAAGGCTCCAAACCAAATCCAACAGGCACGTAACAGCCTCCATGCAGCAAACAAACGCCGTGCAAGGACCCCGCCGCAAGAAAAGATTAATCCCGTTTTACGTGCGTTGCCCAAAACCATCGATTGTCTTCTTAGGTTTTGAGCACTCGCTTCACGTCGTTAGCCAACAAGGACTGCAACGGGCTCATTCCAGCTGGGGCCGTACGTGCTGCTGCGACCGCGGGACGGAGAGCGCCCAGGACCCGCTGAACCGCATGCAGGCATACATACGTACACATATACATATGTACGCAGCCGGAGGGCTCGTACACTCGCCAGTCCTCTATCACCGTGAGGTCTCAACCACACCATCAACTGGGCAACCGGATGCAGAACGGGACAAGCTTTTCTTGGAAAGGTCATTGTAGGACTGGAAATGCACAAAAACTCAGGGGTCCCTAACAGACTCGCTGCCTGCCAGACAGCTTGACGGTGTTGATTCACACAGCGGCGGCACCGCGCGACTTGGTTCGCCATTTGCCACATACACACACACATGCACACATACACACGTGCATCAGACATCTTAACTTTCTCTACAAACACAACATTTAGCTCAACTACCAACAAATTCATCTCCGGCGCCACCAATTCCCCCGAACAAGGGCCACAGGAGAGGCCACCAGCTCCGTCTCTTGCCACCGGCCGTACCTCCGCGCTCCAAACAGCCAATCACCGTTTCGCCATCCATTGCCATTGCCGCCCTCCTCGCAATCGCGAGGGGAAAAAAGGTACTTGAAGAACATACCATACAAGTACTAGTAAAGCCCATCTTCGCCTCCCCAAACGTCCATGCCATGCATTGACAATGATGCATGCAGAATACATCATCATATACAGACACCCTTCAACCTTCATTCACGACCTCGACCAGGCAAATAAGCAGAGTCATCCCCTCCCGAACGTTACCAGCACCCACTAACGTCGTATCACAGACCGCCGGGCCAGCCCAGAGGAGGAACCCTTATGCTATTCACTGTCGCCACCCCGCGATGCATTGACCTTGTCACGGTCAACACTCGAAGGAGAGCACAGCGCAGCTAATCAGGATCGGCAACCGACCTCGCCCCCAGTAATTAAAGAACAGAACGGAAGGAAAAGAAAGCCCGTAGCCTATAGCTGCCCCCCAGTAACCGTGTCGGCAGCAGCTGCAGCCAAGCCCACTGCCACATCCTCGACCCTGGTCATGAAATCATCCAGCCGCCAGCCAATGCCGCATTTTCAACTCGTCACCCTCGATGGCATCACACGAAACACCCTGAGAGACCATTACGCACCCCAGAAGTACAGCCGCGCCTGTGGAAAGACGCGCGAGAATATCGAGCACAACGGGCTGTACTACCCGCGAGGTGAGGGCGGGATGTCCAAATTTGAGCATTTAAGCAGAGCCAAAAGCTGTGGTCACGCCTAGAAACATCCTTCCACAGCATCCTGCCCTGAAGCAACGTTGCTCTATGCTTGCTGCACACGCCTTCCTTTCTTAGCTTAAGTAGTGCCCAGAGACCAAACAGTCATTAAAACGAATACGCAGCTAGGTGGCTTAATCCACCTATAGGTGCGGCTGCGAATCTCCACGTCATCGGATTACAGAACAGGTTTTTCCCCCAAATCCCAGTTCTGAAGCGGCAGAAGCGATCCGGCCCTCCTCTACAGTTCTCATGGCCGGCATCAGGGTAACGCAGTCCCTAATCCCTAATCCTAACCACAAATTAGCTCTCGATCCTCGAAAATTGCCGACCCAATCCCGTACATCCTCCATGCCAGGCAAAGCACAAAACCGTTTCTTTCACATCATTAGATGGCCTTTGGAAGCGCGAGGCTTAAAAAGGCCACTATGACATCACTCCAATCATCTTCGACATGCAGCGAACTCAACCTTCCTACGCTCTTGATGGATCACGCCACCGCCAGGATGCGGTTGCCATGGCAGCCTTGGCATAACGCAGTGATGGAGAAGACAGTACTGTGCTGCCGCGAGCTGCACACTTCACCCGAGTCCGAGCGCAGCGTTGGGCGCGCTGTGCCGCAGCAGCACCCGCCACACCTGTCCGCTGCACCCGTGCACTCCGCCTCCATGCACATTCGCCGGCGGCCACACTCGTTGCATGACGCCATGATAGAGAGTAGCAGGGGCGGCAATGTGCAATGGCACATTTCACACGGGTCTAGCTCCGCACAGCAGCCGTTTTTGGCTGCAGTAGCAGTGTTATTGTGGCCATGGCCTCGAAGAGCTGGTTTAACATCCTCATTCTCCTCGGCCTTGCAGCCCATCACCATGGCGGCTGCGTTGGCCCCGCAGCGGCTGCGGCGGCCAGCCGGTTGCGCACCGGCTCCCACGGCATTGTTGGCACCTGCATGCTGGTCGATCTGATGCAGGCCGCCCAAGATCGCCATAAGGCTATCAACCTGCAGCGGGTGAGCGCGCAGGCAAAGCACCCAGACCGTAAGCGTCATGACTGCGCGAGCACTGAGCTCGGAGCTTCGCACGTGTGCCGCCGTAACACCGGCAAGGCCAGAAAGCGCTTGTATGGACAGCACATGAGCATAGGTACAAAACAACACATGGCACGTCACAATGGAGCATCCCACATGCGGCCAAAGATCCACAATCTCGGATTGCATGTGCGCGCCTGCCTGATACCGTACCTGGTAGTGGCCCATTTGGAACGCCAGGTGGAAGGGTGTGACGCCGTTGTCCGACTTAAGGTGCGTAAACGCCGCTGGCCAACCGCAGTGATCCAGAAGCAGTAGCCCCACGCGCGCGTCGTCCAGCATCGCCGACAGGTGAAGCGGCGTGATGCCCGCAGGCCCCGCCGCATCCACACGCCATCGGTAGCCATGGCTGTCACCCCAGGCCAGCATGCCAGCCAGCAAGGGAATGCTTCCGCTGCGCACGGCCCGGTGTAACAGCGTTAGACCTCGCTTATCGCCCGAAGACGAGCTGGCACTCGAGGCCGATGACGGCACGGAGGCGGCGTGGATTGCTGCCACCATTTCAGAGGCGCACGAACAGCGGGCGCAGGCTAGGGGCAGCACAGCAGAGGCGACGGCGGCCCAGCCCATGTCGCAGGCGATAGCTAGTAGGCGACGTGCCTGGGGGAAGAGGGGTTTATTGGCACAACGGGGCGGAACACGTCGGGAGCTGGTGCAGGCGGCGGTGCTCGGCAGCAGATACAATAAGAGGAAACGGAAACCAAAATTACGCAAATAGTCTGCTTGCACCAGCACTCCATATGTGCGACCGCCTGCTGGGGAACAACCCAGTGCAGCGCACGGCGGTCCGTTGTGGCCGGATGGCCCCCTGCATTGGGGTCTTTCTAGGCCTCGCGCTGTAATACTTATCACTACTACCTGAAACCTGAAACCAAAATTTTACGCAGCGCCGAGGGCATGACGTACCTTCAGCGCGATGGCAGCATGCGGCAGCTGAGCACCCGCGCCCTGCTCCCCAGCAATGTGCTGCAACACGATGGCCATGTCCTGCAGCATCAGCTCGACAGTTTCCTGGCTCAGCGGGCCGTAGCGGACATCCAGCCTGCATGGCAGGACATAACGAGGCGGAAGACGATAAGAGTCGGAATCTTGCCTTGCTGAGGAAAAGCGAGCAAGCACGCACACGCACCATATTCTTCGATGCGTCCAAAAAAAATGCTGCATAGGACATAGAGCCTAATAATCATCCTATTCGTCCCGAAATTTGTCGAAACGTACTCAACAGGAGAGGTGTAAAGTAGCAAGATATTAAGCCAAGTCCAAAAGGACACCCAATAACCTCCATCCGTCATGGAAGTGCCTTGACCAATGCTTTCGCATCGTCACCAGCTAAGGCAACATCCTATCCCCCTTCATCTTTCCCGCAGGCAAAGCCCGACATCCTCACAGCCTCACTTGTTAATTTCCTCCACCAGCGCCTCATTCCGCGCCACCAGCATCTGCTTGGCGGGGCTGAGGTAGGCGCCACGCATCAGTTCAACCCACACAGGGCCACACAGCTCCGGCAAAGGCGGCAGACGCACGATGGCTCGGTGCGCCGATAGCGGCTGCATGTGCGCCTTCAGGTGCTGAGCGCCCCAGCGCACAATGACCTGGTACAGGGTGCAGGCAACCAAGCCGAGTTATAACCTTAGGACTTCAATTGGGCAATCCTAACGACAGAAACATACCCACTCGATTCGCATTCCAGCATCCATATCGGATACCCATGTCCCCTCTAGGAGGCCTGCTCATCTCTTTGCCCATCTATGCACCCACGTCCCCTTGCCTACACTCACCAAGCAATTTGGCGCGTCCAGGTGCTGTCCGTGCAGTTTGAGCGTTACGGGCTGGCCTGCCACAGCCGCCAGCGGCCCAAGGCGTCGAATGACGGGGAACCGCCCATCACCGTTGGCACTCGCTGCGTCACACGACACACGCCCGTCGCGAACCAGCATAATGTCTTCGTGCAGCTGCAGCGTGTACATGCCAGTGTGCCAGAACGGGCAGCCCGTACGCGTCAGCAGATGCTGTGCCAAACTGCCAAGTGCTCCCGGTGCCATCGCCTGCGCCTCGCCCGCTTCGTCAACCAGCATCTGCACCGTCAGAAACACGCAGCCCGGCCGAATGGAGGCCTCCATGCCTGCTGGCGCCGACGCCAGCCAGCTGTTGACCTGGTTTCGGAGATCTGAGGGCAGGTCGGCTGGCGTGCGGTTGAACAGCTTCATGGACAGGCGGATCAGCCTGTGCTCGCTCTCGAAGGCCGGAGCGAACTCATTGCGGGCACCCATAATGTCCCGGGCCAGGGCATAGGTACGGGCCTGGTCCGAGCCATCGCTTGACGAATCAGCGGGGCTGCCGGAACCCAGGCCCACCCCCAAGCCCAACCCCGGCGCAGGGTGTGATGCGGGCAAGGCAGGGTGCGTTGGTACTCCCAGCAGCAGACGCAGCGCGTGGAGCTGCGAAGGGTTCTGCATGAGACACGTCAGTAGCTTGCCGACATCGCCGTCAAAGGAGGCAGTAGCGCCGCCGTTGGCGGCAGCTGCAGCGCCGCATCCGACGGCGCCAACGGCGAATGGGTCCACGGCCGCGGACTTGCCCTTGGCCTGTTCAGCCTGAGCGCGGCGGCGCCGCCGGGCGTTGTGCTTGGAAAGCTGGTCACGGCAGCTCTTGCGGTTGCCATCAAAGGCGGTCAACTCGTGGAAGCGACCGCACTGCTGGCAGAAGCGCTGCAAGCGACCGTCCTTCATTACCTGCGGAAATTACCAGGGTGCACGAGAGACATGGGCAGGGCCCATCGTCACAAAGTAAGCAGCTCAACACTTCGTAGCACAGAGCACCTAGCGAAAGGAACCATAGCAGAGAAAATAAATACGAATCGCTGAACCTCCGCGCGAAGATCCCGAATTCCCAATCCCGCAGCCATCCCAGCCAGCTGCCTCACCTGCTGCAGTTTAATGTGCACATCGCAGATACGGTACCGCTGGTGATACTCCTTCAAACCAGACAAGTCCTTGCCGCAGCCGGGCACCTGACAAACCATGAGGCCGTTGTCATCGCCCACATCATGCAGGGCAATCACATCACCCAGGTACTGGTGTTGCTGATGGTGCGCGCCATTGCCGCGGTTATTGCCCAAAGGGCCGCGACGACCAACCTCATCCTCATCCTCACTGTCACTGATGGCGAAGTCCGAAAGGTCGCCGCCCACCATAGCGCCATCGGCGCCACGGCCGCCAGTTGCACCCGTCTGATGGGCCTTATTGGGTAGCGGCATGCTAGCCTTATTTGAGCTGTCCGCCTGCTGCCTGCCGCCGCTGCAGGTAGGGCCGCCGCCGCCGCGGTTGCCGCTGCAGCACAGCGCCTTGGCATTGTCAGCGCTACCCTGCAGCGAGCTGGTCTCCCCCGAGGAGCCCAGCGCGGGCGATGGCACGGACGAAGGCGGCAGCGCCATGCTGGCCTGCTGCTGGAATACACCCGAGGGCGTTGGAAAGCCAGATGCCGGCATGGACAGCGCCGGAGCACACTGAGCGTGTGAACCTGGGAAAGGCTGCATGGGCATACTGGGCATCTGCAGGGCCATCGGCTGTATACCCCAGCCCATGCCGGCCAGAGGACGACCAGTGCCGCCTGTCATGCTTGTGAAGAAGCCGGGCATGTCCACGGCTGCCGCCATAGCCGCTGCAGCAGCTGATGCAGCTGGAGAGCTCATATCGCCCAGCCCAGCCCAACCCATGCCAGCCGGCAGTGCCATGCCCATATTAACATTAAGCATTTGTGGGCCGGTAGCTGCTACTGATGCGGCTGCGGGAACAGCCGCAGGCGGGACCATGGCACCCGGGCCATGGCACATGCTGCTCACTGCGCAAGTCTCAACAACTGCTTTCTGTGGAGCAAGGCTGTTCATAGCGGCTTGAAGTGGCCCCGTCAGCTGCTGCATTGCCTGAGTCTGGTTGGGCGTGAAACTGCAGCAAGCTGCTGCCGCAGCAGGGGGCTGGCCACCAGCACGAATGCTACCACTCGGCCCTTGGCAACATGCGCCTTGCTGTGCCTGTTGTTGGGGCTGTCCTTGGGCCGCGGCCGTGTTGTCTACCTTGCGCCGCTTCAGGGCCTGGCAGCAAGCAACGTTCGGCGTCTCCTTAGGCGCGGCGAACATGTTGAAAGGATCCCAATTCCAATCTTCCACAGCCCATGTTTGGTCGTCTCCTGTAATTATTTGATACCGAGGAGGAGGACGGAGGTCACTTCTTGCGCGATATAAGCTTAGCAGTTGTGGGGAAACTACCAAGTTCTCACCTTGCAACAGGAACGGATCCAAATCACTGCTCGTTATAGAGTTTGTCCGCTCCGACCCCGCGCCCTCGTCGTTAAATAAGTTGGCAAGGTCCATGATCGAAGACGCTGCAGGAGGGTTGAAATTAAGCGTTCCAAACTATCAGAATGATTGTAAGCCTGGCCTTAAAAGGTCCAACAAAAGAGAGGCCATGAAGGACGCTCCTTAGGGCCTCATCGGTGCAACTGTGAGCAACTCCAGAGTTGCTGGTCAGAAGCATAAGGCACCGGACACAAACCCTTCGCGACTGCAAGCCTAGCGAATTGATTAAGAATGGAGAATCCTACCTCAAAAGCGTCTTATCAAAGTGGCAAGCGTACCTTTGCAAACGAAAGACCGTGGGGCTCGCCGCGCTCTGCAAGGGTCCCCCAAGACACGATGCCACGAGCTCCTCCTAAGGTTCAAACAGCTTTGCTAAATATTGTATCTGTAACTAAAATGGAGGCCACCAAATGCTCGGACGCTGAAAGGAAACGTCTCGGAAGGTGCCCCCGGAGCTGAGTGTCCGTAAAGGTAGTGAGACAGCTAAGGCTTCCCTGCCTCAGAAAACATGTAGTTCTGAGCCACAGATATTGCAGCGAGGGCGCCTAGACAAAATTCCGCTGGGCACTCCATTTTTACGGCACCCATTACGGTATCGATTACCACTGACGAAATCTTTCCCAGGAACCATGCTTGGCACTATTGAAAAAAATCTATGCAATGGTCGTGCAGCTAAGAACATCTTACGAGCCTAGGGGCAGTCAGCAGTCAGCATGTCTGCCGGCTGAAGTGCGTCTTACACTTTACTCCCCAAGCCACCTGCCAGTGTGGACCAGAAGTAGTATATGAAAACGTATAGCTAGCTCTGGGACTATATGGTCGAAAACTAACAGGTTTCGGTCGACGCTTTCCTTCCGCAGGAATCAATTTATTACGCCGTGACAGAAACAGGCTCCCAAGCCAAGGCAACCATCTCGAAATCTCACCCCCGGACACTGTCCCACGCTCTCCAAGTAGGGTTTGCTTTTCACAGTACTGTACGGTCGTGACGAGTAACACGTCGCTTGTTAACTTCATATTTGGCAGTATTGGCAGTCCAGCCTGGCCCCTAGGTACCTGCCTACCAGTTGCAATACACGGCATGACCCTCACATCTGTCAGCGTGAGAACTAACAGGATGCTTCTCACAGGTGTGAGCGACCCCCCCGCAGCCACGTCCATAGGCTGCAGGAGGTTGGTACAAGCTCGGGAAATACTCTCCCGCAACTCAACCAACTCGGCGTCAAGGACAACAGCCTTCTTCGCTTTTTCTGAAGGCGCGGTGCTTACTTCCCCCAAATGACCCTATGGGATATCAGACAGCTTCCCTGTGGCTGGATCCCGCGCACATTCCCTATGGCATACATCAGGCCGGTTCCGGCACATTAGCCACCCTACCGGCCCAGTTACCGAGATGACCATACCTCGGTTACTGGGCCAGTAAGATTACCGGATGGACCATTAGCCAGTAACCGTACTCGGTTCCACATATTCCAAATTCCACCACTCCCGGTCGGCAGTAAGAGGGGAGGGACATCACCCGCTGCATATCACCAAAGGCCTTCTTGTCGCTTTCTGTAAGGAAACCGCGCAATGCCCTCGCCCTCTCGTCACACGGGGCCGCGCCTTATATAAGCCTCCTCTTAGCCTCATTAATGCAAGTGCACCGCCACCTAGAAATAAGGGCTGCAGCTCTGTGCTCTCCACACACCTTGAAAATCAGGAGAGGTTTGTAACCACACAACAATATGATGTTGTTACAGGGTGGTAACCCGGGAACCTCCGGGAGCAGAAGTCAGGCCTTAACTTTTGCCGGCCACCTGCCTATCAGTATGTTGAGGACGCACCCCAGATAGAGGTACGACAGCCGTACCTTCAGATCGACACCACCACATGTGGTACCAACAAACTGTAAGACGACGTCGCAATCCGGGCACAGTGGAACTAACTCTGGCCCGACATGGTGCTATCAGAGTAAGATCAGGCTGGGGACCTGGCCCCTTCCACACACACCTTAATATTAGCAAGTCCAGTATCTGGACACACCTGCAAGTGCACGGCATCGTCCAAAGTAGTTTAGAATACTGTAATCACTGCTTTCCCGGGAAATGCTAACACGGCCACACGTGGCTCTATCACGCGACCGAGTGGGCGCCATTGAAGGCACACACCTCTTAAGGTGTAGGTGTAAAGCACACACATACATACATACATATATACACACATACACTTATCACTCCTTTATCACTTTGCTTTGTCTGAATTGCGAGGTAGGATGGTGCTTATAGGCGATCTGGCAGTCCTTGAGCCCTCGGCTCGTATTGGGCGGTTTGCAGGTACGAGGGTACGCACCTCCACGACCATGTAACACACACACATACTTAAAACAAACAAGCACGCGTGCCGCCGGAGAGAAACCCAGCCATTATCCGTTATTGAGCTGCCTGCCGTTCGTCAAGACATGGGAGCTGAAACAGCGAAAAGTGGCGAGCTTGGGCTTGGGGCTATCTCAACTGGCGGCAACGAGCAAAACCCGACACCATACGCCTGGATGGGTAAAACCATCCGAACGCAGGGCGATATCATATATGGTCTGAGCGGCGGCGGGCCATATATGTATGACTGACTGTAGGTGCTACTCGAACTGCACGTGCTGATGGAATGTCGTGGTTACGAGCCGCTAAGGCTGTGTTCCCTACAGATGTAGGTACATATGTGCAGCGTTATGGGGTCCTTTGATGCGACCAAGCTGGGAAGCCAACTGGTGTGCAAATTCAAATTCACGAGAGCGCGGAAGGAGATCTTACGGGAATAATCAATTTCAGGTTGTTATTCCAGGCTTCAAATTGTCCTTCCTATATGTGCGCCCCCTGATCCCCCTGGCGGAACCGTTGCGCGGGGAAACACATGTTGCTGGCATATGTAACGATACTCGCAAGGAATGAAGGGCCTTACGGGTCCGCTACAAAAGGATTGCAAGTACCTGATTACCTTTTGATCAAAAGCAAAAGGACTTCGAAGGGGACCCTCCCGGCCGCCACCCAGAAACACGTGCGCGGCTGCTCACCAATACGGCAAAACACACACGCATGCACCTCCAGCCATCACGGTGCGTGGAAGCTCACAGCATGTACGGCATCATAACACAGCAGAGCATCTCCTCCCTCCCGAGGCTGTTACAAGAGTATTAGTAAAAGCAGCCACACCCGGGACGAATAAAGCTGGTAGTGCGCCCAACATCTTTACCTAACGACAGTCGGAAAGGCTGCGAGCGCTCCTTCTCCTCGGCCCTAAAAACGAAGCAAGTGCACGCGCATACAAATACACAGATGACGCGGCGAATTAACACACTAATAAACCCAGTGCAATGCGCCAATTTCGTACTCATACATCTGCTACTTTAACGTCTGGTCAAGTTTTTATATTTTTGATGCTGAACCCAACAAAACCTACACTCTCGCACGACCTGGGGTGCCGGCAAGGACAGCTCAAAACACAACCCGCGGAAACGGAAATCAGTTGTCAGTTGTCCAACAAGTCTGAAATGGTCTTAAAACTGTGGAAATGGGATCCACAGCGAGATCCAAACACAAACAGATTCACTCATCAAGGTACACCCACACATCACGTAGCTCATGAGGAACACATATGCGCCGCCCGCCTTTGTGGGCCCCTTCTATAAATATATATACTTCCAGTACAACTCCTTCGCGGATTGCCTAGAGCGTATCCACAGTCGCTCTCATCCTCCCACATCAAACGACAAGCACAGCTTTTGAACTGGACACGAGCAACCTCCCGCAGACGTTGACGAGCACACAGGAAAAACAAAAAGTCGTACGCGCCAGTTTTGCGGGTGTTTAACACGGCGGCAATTGCCATGGAACGAAAGGTGTGGGAGGAAGTCTTGTAAATTCCTCACAGCCCTATCACCCCGGGGCATTCCCACGCGTCGACAGGTCAAATCATAAGTCCTACGCGCCATCATCTTACGCATTCAAAACATAGCGCAAACAGCAAGGTGCACTTCCCCCTTGCGAACGTCGTCCTACTACCGCCTTTTTAACCTACATATAAAGCCGCCTCGCCGGCCTTGAGAATTCAAAAAGGCATTGCAGATACGGCACAATCCACACAATCTGGATCCTGAATTCGTACAGAACAATCCCATTCAGTAAAACAACAACACGCGTAAAAAGTTCAAAGCAGCCTACGAGGCATATAAACTATATCAAAGCTTTTTTTATCAGCTCATGGTTTATTATTGGCTGTAAAATAAATTCACGGTGTCGACAGGAGGTCCCTGTGTGGGCAGACGAGTACCTGTGCGGTGTCAGCTATCCATCCGGATCCATCCAACCGGATCCATCCAATTGGATCCATCCATCCATCCGGATCCATCCATCCATCCATCCGGATCCATCCATCCATCCAACCGGATCCATCCATCCATCCAACCGGATCCATCCGGATCCATCCATCCATCCAACCGGATCCATCCATCCATCCAACCGGATCCATCCATCCATCCACCTGCATATACTTTAAACGTCCACATCACGCCGCCGAGCAGAAAACACGTTGAGCTACCTCCCAAGTCTTTCCCCCCCCCCATCCACACATTCCGCCACCGCACAGTGCTTACCCATACACTTGACGCAGCCTTCATTGCAGCAGCAGCAGCAGCACTGAGGAGGTTTGATTTGAGGCGCCTTGCTTTCCCCAGCTTCCACCCAGAGTCCTAATGCCGCAAAGCAAGAAACGCGCGCGCACGAGAGCCGCCGCGAGCCGTCATCACGCCTGCACCGGCGGCGCCGCGGCCTCCACCGCCGCCACGGCGTCAGCCTTGACGGCAACCTCCTCCCGGGCCTTGTCACTGCCGCCGGTCACGGCCCCGCCCTCTATCCCCAGCTCCTCCTCCAGCGTGCTGACTGGGCCCTTGAACCACTTGTAAGCCCCGTACACTGGAAAGTAGTACCAGATGAGAGATAGGGCAAACGTTGCCAGCAGTGTAACGCCTGCGAGGGTGTGCGTGTACGTGTGTATATATGTGCGTGTATATATAAGGAAAGGGGGTAAGGCCCTCGGAAGGGCCCCCCTCTATCCCTCCCTCCCTCGCCCACGTCCCTACACACCACGCCTTACATAATCAGGCAACCACGCGCAGCTCCCCTCCATCGCAATCCCCTCTTCACACACACATACACACACGCACACACACATACACACACGCACACACACATACACACACACGCACACACACACGCACGTACCCGCATAGTTGAGGTTGGAGGAGGCCGTGGGGTACTCGGTCGGCAGGGAGAACACCACCACGATGAAGCCCACCCAGAGGGTGGCCACGACCCCGATGGGGTAGGCGGCCCAGCCCAGGTGAAAGGGACCGGGCTGGAAGCGGCGGGCGCCCCAGGGCAGGATGCGCGCTGTGGTCGGCGCCACGTAGGCAATATTGAGGGCAATGGTGGACAGAGAGATGATGGCGGTGAAGGCCTCCTGTGTGGGGAAGGATATTACGACGGGAAGGATATTACGACGGGAAGGATAGTACGACGGGAAGGATAGTACGACGGGAAGGATAGTACGACGGGAAGGATAGTACGATGGGATGGATAGTACGATGGGATGGACAGACATACACACATACATGGGAAGGACATATGTATGTCTGTAAGGATGTGAACATGTGTGGTTAGGTAAGTGAGTGCGTGTCTGTGGAGGGGGGAGGGGGGAAAGACGAACCACACGCGATTGAAGCTGCTGCCAGGGCAAGATAGGGGGGAGAGGGGAAGTAGGAATCACACGATGTGAGAAAAGAAAAGATTCAGAAATGAGCTACTGACTGACTGACTGCGGGAAGGCGTCCAAAGTCCGAAGGAACTGCCCCCCCTAGGGAGTGAGTCCGCTAAGCGATGAACCCTTGGCGACCCGGGGTCGGGAAGTAAAGCCCCATTACGTTACCGACATTTTTTGTGGTATAATCGTGTGTATGTGTATGGGGGAGGAAAGACGAACCACAAACGAGTGAAGCTGCTGCCAGGGCAAGAGTGCACCAGTGTATGGGGAGGGCAAGGTGAGAGGGTTGAGGGGGGGATTGTATGGCGAAGAGGAAAGGCTGCCAGGAAACGCCCCAAGCACCCAGGATCCCGCCGCGCAGCCACGACTGCCGACCCACCCACCTCACTCCCCAGCATGGGCAGCCCCAGCAGGAAGGCCGCAAAGACAGTGCCCCACACCGCAATCAGCGGGCCCTTCACGGTCTTGTTGTACTTGATCCATAGCCAGGCAAGTGGCACGGCGCGGTCGCGGGAGTAGGCGAACAGGATCCTGCAGCAGTACCAGCACAGCACCAGCACAGCAATAACAATACCAGGAGCAGTAGTAGGAGGGTAGGAGCAATAGCAGCAGTCGCAGGGGCAGTAGTAATAGTAGGAGACGAGGAGGCGCGAATTGGGGCGCCGTGTAAGAGGTACGGTGTGCGGCGCGAGCGGAAGAAACGCAACGGGGATTCACTTTCTGACGTGTGGGGAGCTAGGTAGGTAGGTAGGGCTAGGTAGGTAGGCAGGTAGCTGCCGTGCCGTGTCGTGCCGTGCCGTGTCCTGCCGAGCAAAACCCACACACACACACACCCATCCCCCTCGTCATCCGCCTCCCTACCTGGACACGTACGTCACGGTGGAGTGCGCACAAAAGTAGATACCCCCCAAAGGAATCATGAGCATGATGATGCCGCCTGTGCCGCTGCCGGTGCGCTGCTTGAATGCATTCCAGAAGATCTGGAGTGATGAAAAGTGGAGGTAGTTGGAGGGGTTGTAGTGGCAGTTAATTCAGTTAATGCACTTGAGGTTAGATGGGGCCCTCCATAGGGGGGAAAAATCCGCCAAGGGAAAATTAACCGCGGGGCATGCATGTGGTTACAGTTCATGCACATACAGATGCACATACAGATGCACATACAGATGTGCATACAGACGCACCGTGGTCCCAGCCCGGGCTTCCCTTCCCCCCCACACCCTACACTCGCTCACGCACCCACCTGGGCAATGGGATCTCCGTTGGCCTCCGACGGGATGGTGCCCAGACTCAGCACCTGTGATACAGAGGAGGGCCAGATGAACGTTCCGGGGCGCAAAGTCTTAACGATATAATAATACAACTAAAGCCGCGAAAAGGAAGATGATTGTCGTGAAATGACGTAGATATTGTCAGAAACGGTCATGTCCTATGCAAATAAATAAATAAAATTAATTAATTAATGTAAATGTAAATGTTAGCAAATTTAATATTAGTGTAAATAAGTAAATTAATATTAGTGCAAATGTAGTGTTAGTGTAAATAAATAAATAAATTAATTAATGTTAGTGTTTTGCATTTTAATTATTAAATTCAGACTTTCAAATTTTTATATTTTTTCTTAAACTGCAAAAATTCGGATCCGACACACAATCCGACACACAGGCGGCACTCCACACAGTCCACTAAGCCCCTCAACCCAAGTTGGAGCAGCTGCCTCCCCCCTTCTCCCCCCTCCCCATCCGCCCACCTGGTTGAGATCTGAGACGCAAAACAGCAGGGACAGCACCCAGGACCAGCCCACGAAAATCATAAACACGACGCCCAGAATCTGATCCGGAAAGAGCGTGAGAGACGGGGAGGGGACGACGGGGGGGGAAGGGAGGGGACAGGCAGCAGATGAAACAGGGAGTGCCGTACAAATAGTACAGCCTGCCTAAAAATAGAAAATCCCTGTGTGGTCGGCCGTTGCAGCCACACACAACTGCCCCGCCTGCAAGCAACACATACACACGCATGCACACACATACACACACACACGCACGCGCACACACAACCGGGGCCCCCTGGTGAGCTCTTGTACACAACACACAATACGAAACAATACGTCACCACATGTCACTTAGATTCGACGGGTAAATTAAACACCCTCCTCCCGCACCCCCAAACACAAATATACACACACACTCTCTCACAATGCCCCAGGGCGCCGCCATCGAGGCGTTGGTGCTTTCCTCCGACATGTGCGCGGGGCCGTCGTACCCCGTGAACGAGTAGGCGGGAAGCAGCAGCCCCAGGATGAACACGTAGCTGGGGGCCCCCGGGCGGGGGGGGGAGGGGGGTAGATACATAAGGGAGGTGTCAGGGACAGGGAGATGGTTTTTAAGAGGCTGCAGGTCTCTTTAAAGAATGTTGCTAGCCGTTTGTGCCGGGAGCCCCACCTCCCTCTTCCTCCTCCACACCTCCCTCCCCTCCCACCTCCCTCTTCCTCCTCCACACCTCCCTCCCCTCCCACCTCCCCTCCCTCCACACCTCCCTCCCCTCCCACCTCCCCTCCCTCCACACCTCCCTCCCCTCCCACCTCCCTCTTCCTCCTCCACACCTCCCTCCCCTCCCACCTCCCCTCCCTCCCTCCCTCCTCCCTCTTCCTCCATCCTTCCTTCCCTTCCCACCTCCCTCCCCTCCCTCCCTCCATCCTCGCCCCCGTACAATGGGTTGTGTATGCCGCTGTCCGCCGCTGGTCCGCTCTCAAACTTCCGAAACACCCAATTAGTTGTGGCATGTTCCACGGTGATACAGGGAATGGCGATGATGACGATCAGCGCCCCCACGATGGTCCACCAGGCGCCCAGCTCCGTGTATGAAGCCCACGTGCTCGAAGCGGAGGGAGTTGATGGTGGCCTGGAGGAGGAGTGGAGGGGGGAAAGGTGCA